ATGGACGGGCACGCAGCCCTAGGGGGCAGGCTCCGAAGGCACGGGGGTCCCGTCCACACCACCCGTCCTCCCACGCCCAGAGCCCCACCGTTTCCCCTTGCCTTTGGAGCCCGCTTTACCTTTAGCTCTGGGGGCATATATAATTGGGGTCTGGGGCAGCGAGCCAGGAAGAGAGGAGGCAGCGGCATAGGTACAGAGCTGAGTGGGCGTATTGAGCACCTCAGGTGAAATTGATCCTCTAGCAACTAACTCCCGAAATCGCTCGCTTCCCGAGAAAGCTTCCTGGGCCCTTGAGGCCCTGGAGGGGTTAAAAAAACGAGTGCACATGGCCCAGACAGGGGGTTGCTGGCTTGGTTGCTGCTGCTGATGCTGCTGAGTTATGCAGTCACTACTTAGCTGATCCGAATTATCTGCTTCGAAAAGTGGTGCCGACGAGGGCTGGCTAGCTACTACTTCTCTGGGGAGGTCTCCTGGGGCCTGCTGCCTACTCCTTCTTCTCGGACCCGACCATCGTGCCGATCTCGCGCTCCAAGGGGCCCTGCGGGGCCGCGCCCGACAAGAAGATCCCCCCCTCCGACTCCACCAGCGCCTCGAGCAGCAAGGATAGGTCGTGCCCGAGCTTCTGGTCCTTGTGGAAGCACATACTGATGATCGCTTTGGCCGTCTCGCCATTCTGAGGCTTGAGAATCTGGCACCTGAAGTACGGGATCGATCTGCCCAGCTTCACTGCCGTCACTCCAGCGGTGAAGATCTCCTTCTCGTAGAAGGCCTTCGTGTCGTCCCTGAGTTTGATGTGCTGCGGGTTGCCACCTTCTTCGAACTGTTTGCTGGCGCCGTAGATGATCGCCGCCATCGCTATGGATACGTGTGGAGGTCCCCTGGCTTTGAAGTCCACTGTGTGGCCGTTCTTCTGCTGATCTTTGAGCTCGGTGCCGACCTTGTTGCAGTGCACTCCCGCCTGCTTGCACGCGGCCGCCAGCCCGATCGTGCCGTTCGGCAGCTCGCGGCGGAGGTAGAGCGCGCCCTTCAAGTCGGCGACGCCCCTGGCGAGCGTCATCGTGAGGCGAGCATTGGCGACGGACAGCTTGTTGTTTCCTCCACCGCCCTGGCCT